CCCCCTATAGGTTTTTTTTACAGTTTTTAGATTTTTCTGCACATCTGGGCATTGCCCCAAATGTGCAGGAAAATCTCCCTGCCCCCCAGGTGCCCCCGATGTGTGGATTTAGATATCCGCACGCAGGGGGCGCCTTGGCTATTAGATATACAGATAAACGGTATTGCTATAAAAAGTATAAAGAAACGCTGCTGCTTTGCTATCACAACAAATGTTTGCCGTGTTATGCAATAGTTAGTACAAGGCAACGGCAGTGCAACATGAGACAAAGTTCAGTGCTGGTGGCAATTAGCAGTAGTGAGATCACATTTGCAAGAAGTTATGAGAAAAGATTCTACGCAACAACAGAAGACTCATTCTTGCTACCTGGAGTGCTTCATCTGTAATGCAGATGCAGTGAGCAACTCCAATGACTGAGGAATTTAGGCAAAGGCATCAACAACAGATGCTAGGCCTCTGACAGCTTTGGACAAGCAAATAAAGCAAATAAATGCCCTTCTAGACGATTCTTGGGGGGGGGGTTAAATTGGAAGAATGCTAGTTTAACCTAGAGAGATTAATTTATTATATTTAAATATTTATTAGACTCTGCACTTTATCAGCAAGAAGGGAAGAGGATCCAAGGGCCACTGGTCAAACAAGCAGAAAAGGAGATATATTCACATTTGATACTTCTCTACTTACTATGTTCCTCCAGTTCTCACAGTAGAAGAAGAAGAGATAAGAGATTGGATTTATACCCCACCCTTCACTACCCAGAGGAGTCTCAGAGCGGCTTACAAACTGGGAAATCAAACCCAGTTCTCCCAGGTTAGAGTCTGCGCACTACACCAAACTGGCTCAGTACAGCCACTGCCATTTATAACCTAGAACTCTAGTTTATCCATATTCACCAGGTCACTTGTATTCACTAGAACCACCTCCAGAGAAACAACAGCCACAGTCATGGCAGGCGCTATTAGCAGCAGCATCTTCCCAGGGGATCACGTTCTCTGTTGGTACTAGTGGATGCAAGTCCATAGGCTTCCAGGTTCATCTCACGGGAACGATTCATGTTCTCTTGCAAATGAAATCAAACCTCTTGCCTCCCCTCAGTTCCCCATCTTTAGAAAGACACGCATTTAATCGCAAACCATTTCAAAACATACATTAGACCATCTTGCATACTGTCTGCTCCCGTTCCTCTTTTCATCCCAAACTGGCTCAGTACAGCCACTGCCATTTATAACCTAGAACTCTAGTTTATCCATATTCACCAGGTCACTCGTATTCACTAGAACCACCTCCAGAGAAACAACAGCCACAGTCATGGCAGGCGCTATTAGCAGCAGCATCTTCCCAGGGGATCACGTTCTCTGTTGGTACTAGTGGATGCAAGTCCACAGGCGTCCAGGTTCATCTCACGGGAACGATTCCTGTTCTCTTGCAAATGAAATCAAATCTCTTGCCTCCCCCTCCATTCCCCGTCTTCAGAAAAACACGCATTTAATCGCAAACCATTTCAAAACATACATTAGACCATCTTGCATACTGTCTGCTCCCGTTCCTCTTTTCATCCCTACTACAGTAGTACAAGACTAACGTAGATTTAATATTTCTTGCAGAAAATGCAGCACCGGACTGCATTGATTGGCTTAGAGAAGGGGGGAAAAAATAACCCCATGTTTGGAAACAGTTTTAGCAACAAAACGTCAGCACTTCTGAGTTCTCCTGTCGTCATCATAAAAAGCCCCTCGGAAGAGACAAGGTTCAGAAGAACCAGAAATTCTAGAGGCGCACAGTCAACGTTATGGTTTTGTATTCTCCAAATCGACATGAACAGCAGTGGCGCCATGAAAGATGTGCAAGACAATTGGGGGGGGGGAGATTTCACACCGTGCTTCCATTTACAGTCGACGAGAAGGACAAACTCTGACATAAGACCCGGTTTCACTTGCAGCCTAGGCAGCCTTGCTCTTAGCATCCCATCGCACTGAAGACCCCTGGGGGGATCAAATCTTTAAAAACACAAAACATAAAGCTACACCCTTTACAATACTGATCTAAAAACAAAGAAATGCCAGGGCGATGATTGGGACACAATCGTCTTAATACATAAGTCTGCGATAACTTCTAGAGGTGCTCTGAAATGAAACTTTTTAAATAGTTCAGTCCAGAGAGAGAACAGCTATGTTGCAGTCACCAAGTATTTTATACATCGTGATCTCAAAAAGTGAACGTGAAACCCATCAGAGTGTGTTGGGTGTAACACCGTGCCAGCCACCTGCTTAATGCTGGCACAATCGGGTGTTGTGGTATAGGTTCTCTCTCTGTTCATGGTGGGAAGAAGTTCCCTTAGTAGGGATTAAGGATACTACTGCTGCCCCGCCCTCCCCTTCCACCTGTTCGGATATTGGTGATGGCTTTAAAAGAGCTGCAGGCTCTCTTGTGAGCAGCCTGCTGGTGGGTGTCTCATCTGAAGCCCTTCTGATGGGAAGACAGAAGCCCGCAGGTCCACATTAATACACAACAGCCCCAACATCAGCTGGCGCTGGTATTCTTCCCATTTTGTCATAACATCTGTTAGGGACAGGTTATTCCGCAACCAATTGGGCAATGCCTCTCCATAGCCAGCACTCAAGGGTACAGGTAAACTTTGGGTCTTTCGGAGTTCAAGATGGTAGTAGAGCCTGGAAGAGAAAAAAACCAAGATTCCGGTCTGTCAGGCTATGTTTGTATGCAGTGTTTAACACACTAGGGCAGGGGTGTCGAATTCATTTGTTATGAGGGCCGGATCTGACATAAATGAGACCTTGTTGGGCCGGGCCATGTGTGTCATAAAATGTAATGCCAGGTAGCGGAGACATAAACTTTATAAAAAACACAAAGGTGTTTTGTTTTTTTTACGTAAAATAAAAACATGCTTAAAACAGCAGCAGTCCTGCAATATTTTGTTCATTTAACAGTGTCTGGTAACGGACACCTCTTGCTCTGAATCATTGCATCAAAATGTCTGTGCTGTTGCAATCTTGAGTATATGCTGTTCAGGTGTGTTATCTGTAAGCGGCAAACCTACGATGACACAGCAGCAGCAGCAGCAGAACTGGAAGAAGAAGCAGAAGACAGCCAGTTCCACTGCGGGCCTGATAGAAGCCCTTCAGGGGCTTTATCTGGCCCCCGGGCCGCATGTTTGACACCCCTGCCCTAGGGCTTGCAGCATAGGAAGGAATACAGACCATAGATCAAAAGAGAAGGAAAACGGAGAAAGAGGTAAAGGAAAAGAGGGTAAAAATAAACATCCCACCACAATTTCTGCTCAACATCATACCAATATCATATACTGCTATGATGGCATAGATAAAGCCAGCAGAACAAGCTAGGGCCACGGCAAGATGCAGGCGAGTGCCGTTTACGCGCTCTCTCGCTGTGTACCTCAATACTGACCTTCGACACCCTCTGGCTATCCTAGTCCTGCCCTTTGCTGGCCCATGAACAGAAAGTGCCACTTGAGCTGATTTATGTTCAAAGGAAACTTTGAGCCTCTGGAGTGTCCTGGCTGGCGATGGCCACACAGTAGAGTTTCACTGAGTCTGAGAAAGGGAGTCAGGCGAACAAGTGAGAACAGCGAAAGCCACATGGAGAAACTGCTCTCTATGAAAGAGAGATTCTTCCGTGGTAAATGGAATCACTCTTGCATAGTTTTACTGTCAGGCCTCCTTCAACAAGTGCATCTGGAATAGCGATCATTTATTCCCGACGGGCAGATCAAAAACAGTCGCTTTAAAACATATAAAAATGATAGTTTAACAACATTTAGAAAAAGCAGTAGGCGATAGTTTCAAAAAACCAATGGTTGTTCCCATGCTTTCACGGCTTCAAGACTGAACGACTGTAACATGCTCTATACGTTCTGTAGCAACGGAAGGTTCTGGACAGTCTTCAAGGGTAACCCCATGGACATTACAACCAGGTGCCAGGTCCCCGGTCCATGAATCTCGTCATGACCAGGAATAGGGTGTTTTCGGTGGCGGCTCCTATCTGGTGGAATGAGCTCCCAGAGGAGATCAGGGCTCTGCGGGACCTAGCACAGTTCCGCAGAGCCTGCAAGACGGAGCTCTTCCGCCAGGCTTTTGAATAGGAGCCGCCATCGCCATTGTACCACCAACGGCCCATGATTTCTGTACATGGTCACCATGATGCGGGCACGTTGGATGAGAATGGGGCGTTTAGGGGACGGCCATCTTGTTTTTAGGAGAGGAGCACCAAAACTGTTCATTACTGTGATGTATTTTAATATTTTAATGTTTTCTATTGTTCTATTGTATTATCTGGCAATATGCCTCGTAAGCCGCCCTGAGCCTCCAGGGAGGGCGGAATAGAAATGTAAATAATAAATAAATAAATAAATTAAGGCAAAGCCTTTTTGAATGGGGAATGAAGTTCCATATATGAGATGAGCAAACGAAGATGATAACTCCAGGGCTTAAGCCCTAAGCATAATTATTGGAGATCGTCCCACAAAAATTAGAGAGTACCAGTTTTCAAGTAAATGTGGTTAGGTTTAAAGTCAAAGCCTCCTTATGTATCAGCCATATAGTGAACAAGAACTCTGCCATG